TATTACACAAGATCTGGCTTGAGTCAAGGGAGTACTCTGGGTCCGACTCTATTTTTGCTAATGGTAAACGATTTGCCTCAGGTTATAGGTACTGCTCGATGTCTTCTTTTTGCCGATGATCTCAAGCTGTTCTTAGGCGTGAATGATATTGCAGATACAACTGCCTTGCAAGCGGATATTGATGCGGTGTCGGAGTGGAGTCTAGCAAATCGTATGCCTTTTAATAATACGAAATGTAAAGTTATTACTTACACCCGCAAGCACTGCCCAAGATTGACACAGTATAAATTATTTGACGCCTGTATAGATAGAGTTTTTGACATTTGTGACTTAGGAGTAACATTGGATAGTAGATTGGACTTTCATTTACATGTGACAACAACCTGCAAAAAGGCGAATAGTATTTTAGGCTTTATTTTACGGACCTCCTATGAGTTCAATGACGTGGCTGTGGCGAAGGTGTTATATAACGCCTACGTACGCAGCAAACTGGAATATGCAGCAATAGTTTGGGATCCTCATGAAGCCAAATACTCTATTATGGTTGAACGTGTTCAGCGTAAATATGCACGATGGCTCTATAGACGGCAGTACGGGTATTACCCATACCTGTATCCATCATACTTCGTTGCGGGCATGGTGGGATTAGACACTTTGTCTCGTAGGCGTAAGATGCTTCTACTGGCTCACTACATTGCTGCGTTTCATCATAAGGTGGATAATAACATTATGTCCAAGGTAGACTTGCTGGTACCTGTGCGTGTGCCTTGGGGTGATGAGGGTGCAGTGGCGCCGCGCCGTAGGCCGCGGCTTTTACACAAGCCCGTCACTCGCACGGTACACGCTTCGAACGCGCCTACCGTTCGCGCAATACGCCTGATCGGAGACTTGCTCACTCAATATGACCATATCGATTTATTCGCTGATAGCTTTGCTTTTATTTATAGAGAATTTTGTAAATTTTTAGAATATTAATTTAATTTTTAATTTTATTTTTAATTTAATTTTTTATTTTTGATTTAACCTAATTTTTATTGATTTTGTATTTTTGACTTGTAAGCGTGTTGGCTATTTAGCTGTAAGTTTATAATGTAAAATAAAATAAATAAATAAAATAAATAAAATAAAGGAACCACGATGAGATTGTGAAAAATTTTAAGAGACCTTATTATTTTCCGGCAATGCAGACTTGGAATGACGGGAGGATGATGATGGAATATCGTAGAAAGATTTAACTTAATTTTTCTTTTTCCCTTTTTTAATTTGATAGATATATTATCCAGTATATGTGCATAGTTCGTGCTCACTCTTCAAGATGAACAACAACTGTCTGCATTCGGGGAAAATATATTTATTTAATTATTAGAAATTCTTCATGTGGTATACCCTCATCCCATATGTGTCTTAGGATATGTAGTTAGAATATGTTGTTAGCGTTATATGTGGGTTGGTTTTTGTTTGGTTAAAGATAGTAGGTGAAGCTGATGGAACGTGATAGCTGCAAAATGAGGACTAAGGCAGCTGGGAGATCAATAGTGATGTAACCCAGTGATCGTCCGATGGATGTTCAAGCCTGTGTCGTCGTTGTGGCAGCATGCACGTTGGAGATAGCTTAGGTTTAGGGAGTTTAGGGAAATAGTTTTGTAGCAATGTTTAGAAGTTTGATAGGGTCGTTCAGCCAGTTTAGGGTCGCTAAAATAAAGTGTTAGGGTTTAGTCAGGTTCCCTAATTAGCTAGGATAGATAACGAGTAATTATATTTTTATTTGTTTGTTTAGGATGTGATCATGGTCTGTCCTTTTAGATAGGTTTTTGGCAGACCAAAGCCATAGCCTCCTCGGTGGTTACTTGTTGGTAAGTTGATAGCTTCCGAGCAATGTGTGGCTAGCCTGTAGTAAAGGCTGATCACCGATGTAAGTTGCCTATCATAGGTAGACCATCAGCTAGGGATATTCACCCCTTCAGCTGTGAGGAAGAGGGATGTAGACTAGGCTGTACTCTATGAGTAGAATTGCTGGCTGAACATAGGTAATGAGTTAGTTTTATATTTGGAACGTTAAGAAAATAAGGGAAGATCTTGACATTAATATTAAGATTATTGATTTGTAACCCTAAACATGTAAAATGGTAAAATAAACCAAAGTTTTAAGATGATCCCGGTTTTATATTATTAAAAGTACCTCTCGCACTGCATCTGAGCTACAGCCCTCTATTATACTACATACTAAGGCCATAAGAAATTATGGATTCTCCCAAAGCCATATAAAGAGATAACAGAGTTTGGAATGGAATTTTATTTCGTATCAGAGTAAACTTGGCAAGTTTTGCCCGCAGCTTATCGCCTACGTGATTAATGTGATCCGGCCATTTGAATCTATTGTCAATTATAAGTCCGAGGTATCGCTGTGTTTTTACCACTTCAATCGCCTTGTATACACAGTCTGTTTGGTCTGTGCGAAGGCAATCATGACTGTGAGCAATTAATAAAAGTGGTGTAGAAACTCTGTTTTTACTCGAACTTATATACATCAATTTTGTTTTACTTGCATTAAGCACCAGACCGACATCGTGGGACCATTTTGTTAACAACGTAAAGTCGTGTTGTAAGCAACGTAATACATCGTTTATATTTTTGGAAGCTGCAACGAGACAGGTATCATCAGCGAACTGATATATCTCGCATTTATTTATGAGGTGGACAACATCATTGACATACGTCAGATAATGTAACGGTCCCAAAACTGAACCTTAAAGCCGTACCCTCTGTTACATTAACTTTGTCACTAAATGGATTGCTAACTTTGACATTTTTGAAGTAAAGAACCCTAAAAAGTGAGTAAATAAAACCTTTAAATTTTTTTAAATAATTGGCGTGTATTCAATACTGTCATAAACTAGTCTAGTATAACAATATAGTCATATAAGTTTTTTAATGGACATATTTATTAATTACATAAAATTTCAGTTTAGCCAAATGCAGTGAAATCATAGGTCCTTAATATTTTGTTACATGTAAACTTCTCCGCAACCTGTGATTCCATGTATATATTACTTATGAATTATGAAGATTAATAATGAAACATAAATGGCAGTATTGGATGTAGAAATGGAAAAAAAAATTTGCTAGCACCCTTAGCGAAAAAAATAATGAATAATGTCAATACTGAGTATTAAAAAACCGACCTCAAAAGTTTATGGAATTATATCTATTTGGCAGTTTTGATGAAATCGGTTACCGGAACGTGCGCGAAACCGGATTCATCCCCTAGTTTAAATGGGATCACTACTGTAATATCCTTTTTCCAACAGAAAGAGAATCATCGCACACACTCAACATAATAACGCACACACTCAACATAGCCCCGCACTAGGGAAACCCTGTGTCGCGGGTGCCATGGACACACACATAGACAACCACAAATTACATCCAAACTCACGAGAGAAATAATTGTAGGCCATACAACTATTTCTACCGGCCCGGGAATCGAACCTGGGACCTCTGCGTGGCAGTCCGGCATGGTAACCGTTAGGCCACAGAGGCAGTTATTATATTATATATAGTTAGCATCAAAATCGGTTCACAAGTTATCGCGTAATATACAAACAAAAAAAATTGTCAACAGTCAAATTGAGAACCTCCTCCTTTTTAAGTCAGTCAAAAAGGGTTACTACGCACAAGAAAAGGGCGAAATATTACTAGAATCGTTGCTATAATACTACTAATGCTCAATTATATTTTTATAAAAAAAGGGAACCACATACCTGACACGTAGTGCTATATTTTAGGGTTACTTACCTCAAAAAGGTGAAATCAAAAACTTATTTATGTTTAATTTTCTGAGTAACCTCACATTTATTGTTTTGAATGTTACCAAATACACAAACTTATAATTTGCCTTATATAAATTTAAACCATTCTTTTTTAATTTTCTCACCTAGTGTATGTCCCTACAATTGGCGAAAAAGGGACATTTTGCGAAAAGGACATTCTGCGAAAGGGACATTTTGCGAAAAGGACATTCTGCGAAAGGGACATTTTGCGAAACAGTCATTTTGCGAAAGGGACATTCTGAGAAATGGACTTTTTGCGTGCGGTAGATATTTCAATCCGGTTTACGGTTACAGAGTGAGTCGTTTTATTTTTAGGAAATCTACGTATTGTGAAACTCGCGCACATTGAAAAACAAGGAGTTTATTTTTTACCCTAGCCGTAACTACTTTGATGCAATTCGTATTAACATATCGGCACCTATAAGGACGCACCCAGTAACAATGGTAAGGGTGCGTCCCCATTATGTCGTAACGTTTCATTTATCGTAGGACGACTGTCGCGTCTAGCCTGTTCCCATGTGAGGACTATCTGTCGTGACACAGTCACGTGACACGCAGACGTTTATTTGATCGTTGAACGACACTCGTGTTTAGTTGTTCCCAGTAGATCGTGACGACAATTTATCGGTTCAAGGCAGCCGACTTGCCGTTGGCACGACAGAATCGTTTGAAGTTGCGATTATCTGTCGTCTCATTTTTATCGTGACTTTTAATTATCGTCAGACGACTGTCGTTTTAGTTCTTTCCATTGGCACGACAATCTGTAGTCGTAACGACAAAAAAGTCGTGAACGACGGTTAATCGTGTTGTACTATATTTGAAATGAAGTTGCATTTAAATATACAAATCACGATACTTTAACCTGCACGACTATCTGTCGTCACGACGCTTTAAGGTTCGATCCATATGCAAGGAATCAATCGTAGCGTTATTAAAATATTTTCTTCAATTTCAAATATTTTGGGACTGTTATCGCAGTTTACAATTCCCAGATTTTGCGGTAAAATTCCTTGCAGGCTTTAATCGCTAATGCATGCCAAAAAAACTAATGCTCTTACACGAATTATCAATAATAAAAATCAGTAAGTCGACAATGAAACCAAATACTGTCATAATTAAAAAAATTAAATTATGCGCTTGAGAAAACTCGATTTGAAAAATTACAGAATTAGTTTTATATTCTTGTTTATAAGCACACATAAATACGCAAAAAGGTTCTTTCTGTTTTTGTTTTTTAATTTTCAAATCGTGTTTTCGGAATTCCATAATTATTGAGTTGCGACAGTATTGATTTTCATGTGTGAGGTGTACATTGCAGCTTGAGTATACAAGACAAAATGTTAAGCATTACAATATCACAGATCGCGCTTTTCGACAAATTCGACCTAATTCAATTGAAATCAGTAAGTATACGTTATAAATTCAAAATTTATCATTTAAAGGCTATACATGCCTTTACATTCGAACCAATAATTGCTTTAAATGATATGTTTAAATAACAAACAGTGTATTTTAGGCTAACTTTAGATATAATGCATTTAACTGTTCCATAAAGATAAAACATAAAACTGTGTGTGGTCCTATCTTTAAGTAGGTGGGCCAAAATCCTTTCCAGAGAGCAAGCGGTCCCTCGTTTGATATGACGTCTTTTAGTACAGTTATTGCACTTGGAGATTTTGCTGCCATTTGTACTCTGGGAATGAATAACATGCTTTGATGATGTAAGCTTTCAAAGATGGGAAAATGCAGTAATATTTAATTTACGAAATAAGAATAGAAATAGTTTCTTATAGTTAACTCAATGTCTGTGTTTCGTTTAAATAATCTTCACAGCACAAATTAGTTTTCTAATGCTTCCTTTAGTCTCTACGAGTGACGATTGTTCCGGTTTTGAAGGGTAAGGGTGCTGGTGAAATTACAGGCACATGGAACGTGCCAATTTATGTCACAGGGTGACAGGCGCGGCAGCAGTACCCTTAGATCTTTGCGATTTAAAGCTCTGTGTGGCACTGTAAGGGCGCGTTCCCATTATGTCGTGACGACAGATAATAACGGCAGCTCCAATCGATTCTGTCGTGCAAACGACAAGGCGGTTGCCGTGAACCGATACATTGTCGTCACGATCTAGTGGGAACAGCTAGACACGACAGTCGTTCAACGATAAAATGAACGTCCGCAATACAGTGACGACAGATAGTCGTAATATGGGAACAGGCTATACGCGACAGTCGTCCAACGTTAAATAAAATGTTGCGACATAATGGGAACATGCCCTGGCTGTTCTGGACAGGCATGTAGCTTATCACCAGGCGCACAACTTGTTCGTCCCGTTACTTGATATTTAAAAAAAGTAGTGACATTTTTGTGTTCGGTACTATTGAAGTAGTCTATGAACGGGTTAAGGTCTGCTAGCTACAGGCAGTATTTTCGACGTTAAATATCACGAAATTAGTTCACCTGGTCTTGACTATGTCGACGGGAAGCGAAGCAATAGATGTGACCAGTCCAGATATCATAGAAGCCGTGAAGTGCAGAGATATTCCTTCACCGAAGTTTGGTAGTAACATTTCTCGAGCCTGTGAAAATTAGGTTTAGTTGGCAGATAAAACGGTTTAAAATATATATGTATATTTAAAAAGACAGGTATTTTTTAAATCTTATTCCCAAATACGGGCGCGTTCCCATTATGTCGTGACGACAGATAGCCGTGCAATTCAAAGTTTCGTGGTTTGTATATTTAAAAGAACCGATAAAAAGTCGGCACGATCTAGTGGGAGCAGCTAGACACGACAGTTGTTCAACGATAAAATAAACGTACACGACACAGTCTCGTGATTTCAAGTTTGTTACAAAATTTACATAGTGGAGATTCCACTTTTTTATTAGATGACAGAACTTATTTACGGGAAGGTGGCCAGTACGAAGTCTAAAAGCTAAGAATTTTACTAGCATGTAACATCTTGTAATCAGTCCGCTTCTTTGCGATTTTGTGAAAATGCGTCATTTTATTCAAATATTAATAAAAATGCCGTCGTATTGTATTTAGAAAATGTTCTAATTAGGTAAGACGTTAAAGTAAATAAACACAACAAATCACATACCGCGCATAAGTTGGCAAAAACATACTAATTTTTCTATTTATTGCAATAAATCACAGTTGCTAAATGCTAATTGAAGATATAGTAAATTATTAGATATAATATAGTCTTTGTTTAATGGGACAGTACGGGGAAATCCGAAACCATAGAAGATGAGCGTGCACGCGACTCATGCTCGGACATAATTAAACTTTAATAGTATAATTAATTAATTAGAATTACCACACTAAACTTGGTCTCATTATATGATGGTGTCAAGATACCTGTGTGTAGGAGCCAAGCTGTGCGCCGTTCACCACCATGGCTCTGGTGATAGTAGCAGACACTCCTCTCATGAGGGTCATAGCACCCTCCGTATTTATTATCCTGCAGCAAAGCAGCTGTATTAAAATAATAATAATAACGCACACACTCAACATAGCCCCGCAATGGCCCCGCACTAGGGAAACCCTGTGTCGCGGGTACCATGGACATAGACAACTACAAATTACACCCAAACTCACGAAAGAAAAAAATGTAGGCCATACAAATATTTCTCCCGGCACGGGATTTAATCCTGAGACCTCTGCGTGACAGTCCGACATGGTTCGGCCACGGAGGTAGTTTCGCAACTATATAATAGCTCGAAGAAAGTGCAAATGATAGGATGAGGTGATAACAAACAAATCAACTAAATACATGCACATGTACATGCGCTTATTACATAGATTTTTGTGAGTAGTGTCCGCTATTCTTTCATTTTTGTTTAAGATAAGTGCCATCTACCCATATTAAGAAGCGTTAATTTATAAATTAGTTTGTAACACACAATGCCATCTA